TTTTTATGTCCACTCGAAGCCTCAAAAAACTTCACTCAATGAGTATTTTTTGAAGACGAGTGACTGTTACAATGGACAGAAACAATACAATGTTGTGCACTGCCACTTGTTTTAAAAGCAGTTAGAACCTGAAAGAGTTAACTAACATCCTGAGTAAACTCCACCCATCAGGATAGGCATTTTTAAACATTCCGTTAAGGGAGAAAGAGACACCTAAGGAGCAGGTGGGATTTGAACCTATACCTCCTGCCTCCGAGGCAGGGGCATTACCACTGCACCACAAGCAGTCCCCATCTATCAGGATAAAAAGAACTGTTCCCTTGAAGGAATTAACCAGTGCTGCTCGTGTTCCCCGTATATTCACCAGGGTGTATATATGATTGTTTTTAGTGTTAAAAGTATGTAGCTAAGGTAGTCATTTGAACTTAGTTTCAAGCTGAGCCAGATGTCTGACAAGAGTCAATTATATATCTTAGATGTGATGCAACTAGCTATTAGATAATATGCAGTAAACCTTTACTGCTTAGTCAAGACTGAGCCAATGTCTACCGAATATATGTCACATGGGCATCCTTCGCCACTTGCTATCAGTGGCTCAACCAATACGAACAAGCAGGATTGACGGTAGGTATCCAAAATACTATGTTGGCAGTGCTGGCAGACAATATTATAAGACTGTTGCCCACTGGGAGGTGGATGGGGTGGAGACAGAAGGGTGCTAAGAGATTTCCTCACTTCTTGCAGGCAAAGAGTGCAGGAATAATAAGCTGAAAGATGGGAATGAAGTATGCATATGTGACTTGGTGGGAGGTAGGGAAGAATGCATTTGTATCACTGCAGAAATGTCAGACAATTTAACAACCGGCTTTGGCAAGAGACTGCGATTTCCCTTCAGAAATCACTGCCGGGGAGAGGGTGGGTACTCCTTGCATGTTTTGCCAGGCTCAAGTGCAAATGATACAATGTTGTGGAAGCCTCTGTTATGAATTGCATGTGGTATACTGAACTTTCATGATATACTCTGTCCTCTTAAACTCAGGGCAGGTTTTGAGGCTCTGGCAGACTCTCGAAGCTTTCTTGGAGATTGGAATCATGCCTGTGGCTGGATAACCATCAAAAGGTGCAGGCAAAGTTAATTTGGATTAGGTGTGTTACAATGTGAATGGCTCCTTTCTTGAATGACTCATGGAGAACATTGGCTAATGTTCATCTATTAGGCATCTTCTCAGTAACTTCCTTTTGAGGTTAAGCTGTTCAAGCTTCATGCTTTGTTACAAATTGGTCAATAGTGACACGGGCGTAACTCGTTGTGGGATAGATGCAGTGTTTATATTAGGAGAGAGTGACAGATTTGGCTCTTTCTTTCTGCCTCTGTGTCCATGTATCTAACGTAATGTACTTCCCCTAATTCTTGACAATGCTTGAATCACTCCTCCTGTCCACTTAATAAAATAACCACATTGGTAAATGATTGCTTTCAAATTGTAGAGATTGGCCCACCCACATACCTTTTCCTCCAAAAAACTGAATGTAAGAAACTGTAGGGGCTAAATGTTTAGTGAAGTGTGGCAGGTTAGTTGTGTTTCTCCCTGACACGTTCCAGAGCAGTGTGATCTGAGGTGTGCCTGTTGTTTTCCTGTGCGCAGTGAGTAGGTGCTCTCTATGGCTGGCAACAACAACCAGTATTTAACATTGTAAAACAACCCAAGGCACTTTGGAGGGGTGTAATCAGACCAAAACTGACACCATGATGAGGAAAGATGTGAGGATCAAAAGCTTGGCCAATGTAAAGTTGCAGTAGTGTTACCAGGCCGCTCTGTCATTAGAAAAAGCTGATTGGTGCTGGTTTAACCTGAGGGTCACCTTGCCTCAGGCGAGGGGAGAGGTTGAGAAAGAGAATCCTTCATGCTAATCTCAGCCGTTGCGGGAATCGAACCCATGCTGTTGGTATTACTCTGCATGGCAAACCAGCTGTCCAGCCAACTGAACTAACCAACCCTGATTTGGTCTGTGGGTTAGGTTTGAAAGAGATTATGAAGGGAGGAGAGAGATATGGCCAGGGAATTGAATCAGCAATGGAAATTAGGCCATATATCTATGGCTGTAAATTCCCTACGATTGACCTGGAGCTGCCTGGAATTAAAGGACACTGCTCTGAGCAACCAAGGAGAGAAATCATGAGGCTGTTAATAAGATTACATGAAGGGTGCTACTTTCAGTCCCTGAAATGTGCCTTGTTAACTGATAGATGAACAACTACAATATAGTATTTAGTGGATGGGTGCATTAGTTACTGTGAGCAATATCTTTCAACCATGAAGAAACACTACATTCTCCACAGGAACTGGAAACTGACATTTAATTGTTTTGGCATTTCTGCTAGTTTAAAAGTTTGTGTTGTAGTTATCACTTTAAAAGTCCTAAACTGCATAAGCAACCAAAATCTAACCCACAGTCGCCGTTAGAAAGTAGTATTTCTGTAGGGAGAGCCTGCATTCCCCTCATGGTTTCGTCCCACTATATGGAAATCCTGTTCTTAAATCCTAGCAGGTCAGCACACAGAGTACATGGACAATCTGTTGTAGGTAGAGAGGGAGGAGTTGGGGAGGTGAATGTAAGATTAACTGTTAAGATTGGTCCTGTTCTTGGGGGTTACATAAAATTGTCTCCAACCTGCCCAAGAACAAACAGTTTTTCCCTCCTCTTTTAATAATTTTGTAATTAATAAACAGAATTGTTCAAAGAAAGTTGGGGAGTAAAGGGTAGCTTTCTTTTTTCCCCACTGTATCGGTGATCCTTCCCCAGAATGCTAGCAGCAGTTTCCTCTAATTCTTTGATTTTCTAAGGCAGTCTTAGCGAGTTTGCAACCATAAATGAGTGCTCTAGGAGGTGTCAGGTTGAGAGCACAGAGCTAACTTAGAGGGATTTGGGAGGACTCAATCCACTGTAAGGAGAATAATTTAAATGCGGTGCATGTAGCTTGAGGGAAAGTTTAGAGAAAGTAGGTGTAGCTGTAACAGGGTTTTCATAGGTGTCAGAACAAATGATGTGGTAGTATGATGTCTGGTGTGCTCAGAAATAACTTTGTAATATATAGGAAAAAGCTATTAAATTCCAGAGTCCCTATGTCTTGATCCATGGGTGTGGTGCTACATCTGCCCAGACAGTATGTGATGCTGGAACTGGCAAATAGAATGTGAAAATGTGTTGCATTTCCTATTTTGTCACCTTGAATGATAACAACAACAGCTTCCATTAGTACCTTTAATATAATAAGGCATCCCGGGATGCTTCACTGAACCAGTAACAGAAAAATATTGGCACTTGGTTCACAAAATGAGTATTAGGTCAATACGTCAAAGAAATATGCTTTGAGGATAGTTTTAGGCAAAGTCAGAAGTCCCACCAGATCAGGTTATAGTCCAAACTAAACCTGTTGGACTATAACCTGGTGTCATGTAACTTCTGAGTTTGTCCACTCCAGTCCAACACCTGCACCTCCACATGATAGTTTTAGAGGAGAAAATTGTGCAGATTTTGTACAGGGGTCACGTTAAGGGAGAGTACCAGAGAGCAGACAGAGGGTCATGAGAGTAGCAGTGGAGTGCGAAAATATATGTTGTCAATTAATTCTCAACAAAAAGATCATTGCTTAAGGATATATTGTTGAAAGGGGGAAAAATGATGAGTAGGCACATGTTTTCAATCCCTGAGGGTTTTCTTTATTTGTGTGCTTTGTTTATTAATGTGGAGTTTTTCCATTGTGTAAGACTTGTGCTTCTGGATTCTCTAAGGCCCTGCTAATGAATAGGCAGTGCAATAGTTTAGTGTCTCTGCTGCATTGTGCTGTGATATACACTTTGCAGCTGTTGTTCTGTGCACTACAAGTTCCTAGTCTCCACCTTGCCATAATGAAAAGCCTCATCCTTCTCTGAAGGCCATCAAAATCAAAAAGGTGTGTGGCCCATGTGCCAGCTACGAAGCCCAATTTTCAGGGGTTGGGCAATCACACCTATCAGATGAAAGGGAAGGAAACTAAATTGAATAAAATACCTGGAGGAAAGATCTTGTTCTGTCAACTTTCAATATTTAAAACTGCTGAAATATACAGAACAAAGATCTCACTCTCTGTGGCCTTAAATGCCAAGCAATATAAGAAATAACACAACGTAAGGGTGAGAACCAAAAGAGTATTCCTGCAGTTGGACCATATACTGGTTGGTGTTGTATTAGGTAGCAAATCTCATGGAGTATATAACAATATGTTGCTAATCCATTGATTCGGGCAATGCTACAAATCAAAAAGCCCAAGAACTTGTTTATTTATCTCTGAATTGTTTTTGATTATTGGCTGATTGATGTCTGAGGCGATGCATTCCCAGATACTGTTGGTTTCGATGTCCATGAGTATGTGAGTGAATACATATAATGCATGATTCCAGGATTCCCAAGTAGCGATGGGGTAAAATAATTATGTCTTTGGAGCAGCAACCAGAGACTGTGGGTATAAATCCACCAGGGCACAGGGTGAAACTGAATTAATTAGTGCTGCCACCAGAAAAAAATGGTCTTATTATGTTACGATAAAAACCCAAATGGTGTCCTGCATCAAAGGTGATCAACCACTGATCTGGTCCACATTCTCATACTTCAGGCTTGAGCCTGAAGGCCTTCTGAAACGCTTAGCAGGTTGTTTCAAGGTCCACTATAGTGGTTTAAGAAGGCAGCACACCACCATCTTCTCTAGGGCAATTAAGAGTAAGCAATAAATGCTGGCCCAGCCAGCAATTCCCACATCCCGCGAATGAATGAATGCAAGAATAAAAGAAAGCATAAGATGGCTCACCACTGTGAGACATGGGTAGAGAATGCAGCTTTGTTTGTATCGCCCATATCCTGAGAACAAATATGTTGCGGGACAGTAACAATGGGTATATTTCTAAGCAAACGTTTTCATTCTTGTGCTGGTCACTCTTTAATGCCTTGTGATTCCTTTCCAGTCCTGCATTGATAACTTTGAAGAGATGGTAATGCTGCTTTTGGATCATGGCACCGATGTCGATGCGAAGGACAATGAGCTGTGGACTCCTTTGCATGCAGCTGCCACGTGTCGACACACCAATCTTGTGAAAATTCTCATCGAACGGTCAGTCTCTTATTTTTTTATCTTGATCCCGGCAAGAGGAAATATCCAAACCTCAAAGTCTGACTTAAATCCCCATTTCAGCCTAGCCCGACTAACCAGGAATCTCTCTCATTCTTACCAACAGCCGTTGGCTTGTATTGGAATGATTTGCAGGTTGATATTTAACATCATTTCCTTCGATATCAGGTCCCATTTGGACTCGGGGAAATAATAGTAATGACTGTGTCACAAGATCTCTGATTAGTAGTGTATCTTGGCTCTAATACTTGCTGCTAACCCAAAACCTAGAGAGGAACACCCACTTCCCTTCATTACCTTTGAGTTATTAGGATACTTATTCCAAAAAACTGGAACGTGACAGAGGTCTACGTAAATAAAATAAACTTGTATATAAATTGTATTATCTTTATAGGCCTAATTTGATTGACAGAATAAAGTCCGCTGCAACATTGTATTAAATACTCCCCTCTATTCAATGTCCTGTTGAACAGCTGTGAAAATATATCGTATACTTTAAACTTGATGGCATGAGGAAAGCCGTAAATATGAAAATAAAGTGAGCGGATGCAGACTGCAGGTTTGGTCCTGTCTGAGAGGAAAAGGCGATTAATTTGAGGAGTGGTATTTTCAGTACAAAGAGAGATTTTTATTTTTGTCAAATTTTGTTGGAGAGCAAGGCAGGCACCTTTGCATGTAAAGTATGAACATGATCTGAGAGTTCAAGTTACTCATTCTCACTCCTGTTACTGTAGAGGAGCTGACCTGCTGGCAGTCAATGCAGATGGGAACATGCCCTATGATTTGTGTGATGATGATCGGACTTTGGAGATCATCGAGACAGCAATGGTTAATCAGGGTAAGTCTATGAATACAATATAGTCTTGTGGCTATGTTCACTATGATTATCTGGAATTACAGCACAGATATCGGTTATTCAATCTATTTAGTTTATGCGACACCAGTGTTTTCTCACTCATCTTCATCTAACCCTATCTGCACATCTTTATATTCTTTTCTCTCTAATATGTTTCATTCAGTTTCCCTGTAATACATCTTTTGCTGTTTGCCTCGACAATGTTTGAGAGATGGGGGAGACTTGGCCTTTATTCTGTAGAGTTTAACCCGTCACTGAGTCACACTTTATTTACGCGCAGAGAGTCCTTGACACCAGCCCAGCTTCCCCGGACCCAGCTCTCGGAGTGAACCGGATGTTGACACACCTATTCTGTCAGCCAGGGCTCCTCGATTGGACCACGTTAACAGCCACAATCTGGGTACTCGCATTCTATGAGGTCCATCTGGCTGACCTCGTTACAATCACTACTGTGATCTCCTTGAAGCATGTAACCTTCTCACTGCACTCATCAGGATAGTTATAGAAAAAGATGTTTCCCCAGCAGAGAGTGCCTAAAACCAAGGGACACAAGTCTCTGAATAATGGGCAGGTCATTTCAGACTGAGATGAGGAAGAATTTCACCGTTCGGAGGATGATGAATCTTTGGAATTCTCTACCCAACAAGGTAGCAGAGGCTCAGTCATTGAGAATATTCAAGACAGAGCTCGATTGATTTCTAGATTTTACACGGACCAGGTGATATCTTTATTCTTTATTCGTTCATGGGATGTGGGCGTCACTGTCTAGGCTAGTATTTATTGCCCGTCCCTAATTGCCCAGAGGGCAGTTAAGAGTCAACCACATTGCTATGGATCTGGAGTCACATGTAGGCCAGGTAAGGATGGTAGTTTCCTTCCCCGAAACCAGATGGGTTTTTCCAACAATCGATAATGGATTCATGGTCATCATTAGATTCTTAATTCCAGATATTTATTGAATTCAAATTCCACCATCTGTCAAGGCAGGATTTGAACCCAGGTCCGCAGAACAATGTCTGGGTCTCTGGATTAATTGTCCAGCGATAATACCACCTGGGCCATCACCTCCCCAAGATATGGGGATGTGTGAGGGAATGACATTGAAAAGTAGATCGATTGTGAACCAGTTGAATGGTTGAATAGGCTCAATGGCCTACTCCAATTTCCTGTATTCTTATACGTTGTGGTGATGAGTTGCACATGCTAACCATTCTCTGGCAGAGAGATTTGTCCTGAACTCCGTAGTGGATTTATTGAAGATGGATTTCCTGGTGATTGTCAATATATCTGTGGCTCGAGGTTTAGGATTCCCCACAGATGGAAGCATTTTTTCTGAATTTATCCTGTCAACTCAGTTTATCATTTAAAAACGTCAATCACAGCCTCCTCTTTTCTAGATAATAGAGGCACAGCCTGCTTAGTCTTCTCTGATAAGTATAATGTTTTCATTTTTTTATATCAAGCTCCTAAATCATTTTCCCTGTATATCCTTTCTATACTTTAGGACCCAGAACTGAACACATTATTCCAAGTATAGTTTAACGAAGAATGCTTCCTTTTCAGGAAAAAAAAAGACTCTTAAGCTTCTCAGCTTGTGTATAACAGATTGAAGCAGCTAATGGATTTTTTTTCCAATGTGTGAGGGGGAGCAGACACTGGAGCGTTGATTCTCAGACAATCTCCAGTTATTTTGGATGTGGGGGAAGGAGGGGGAGAGATTGTGCCGGACATTGTTAAATTAATAAAAGCTGTACACACCATGAGCTTGTTTTCTTCTTCCCCTTTCCCCATTGCAATTCCAATCTTACACTCTTTAGACAGACACATAAGAACAACAGTAGTCAGTGCTGTTGCAAAGTGTTATGTTCTAAATTTATATTTCATCGAATCATCGAAACCCTACAATGTGGAAGCAGGCCATTCGGCCCATCAAGCCCCTCTGAAGACCATCCCACCCAGATCCACCCCATCCCTGTAAATCTGCATTTTCCATGGCTCACCCACCTAGCCTGTATATCCCTGGACACCATGGGGCAATTTAGCACGGCCAATCCACCTAACGTACATATCTTTGGACTGTTTGAGGAGGCACACACAGATACAGGGAGAATGTGCAAACTCCATTCAGACAGTCACCTGAGGTTGTGATCGAACCCAGGTCCCTGGCGCTGTGAGGCAGCAGTGCTAACCACTGAACCACTGTGTTGCCGAAGACAGACAGTCAGAAGGTACATTGGCAACTTGCGGCTGCCTTCCAAATGACAAACCTTCTTGACTTGGAAAGATATCATGATCATTGGATGGAAATCCTGGAATTCCCTCCCTATCACCATTGTGGGTCTATATTCATCCAGACTACAGTGGTTTAAGAACGAGGTTCAGGGGATCTAGGGATGGTCAATAAATGCTGGGATAGTCAACAATGTAAACAACCCATAGCATAAGACCCACTACCACCTTCTCAAAGGCAACTAAAGATGGGTAATAAGCCTTGCCAGCAATGCCATGTCCTGTAAATGAATAAAGTAAATGAGATGGATAGGTTGAGGGAGGCAAAGGAAATGGAGGAAGCCAGAGGGAATAGTTTAGGCAGCGAGAGAAATCAAAGCAAGAGTAAGTTGAAAATGCAGCCACAAAGAAATCACACCTTCATTGTAAGAGTTAACCCTATTGTCATTGTGGCTTTTGCAATACAAAAAAAACACCCACGAGATATTTTAAAACATTTTTAGAAAAGGATTGCACAGCTTGAGGAATGTAATGGTAAACATTCCAGTAATTCCTTCTGTCAGGAAAGGTTGGGCATACCAGATTTATAATTTATAGCTCCTCATGTACCTCCCATTTCTTTACAAACTGCAGTTTTGGCCTCTTACTGTGAAACTGTAAATGTCATTTATTGCAAATTAACATCAAAAAGTTTGGATCTTTCTTCCAGTTACCCCATGTTTTAGTAACTTGATGTTGATCTACTTTTATGCATTTATCCCACAGGCATTTCCCTTGATTACTGAGCAGTCAGAAATATTTCATTCTTACCCTTGAATGTGCTCAATGATGGAGCATTTGCAACCCTGTTAGGTATAGAATTCTAAAAAATCACAACCCCCTGAGTGAACAGCACATTGCTCAGTTTATATTCTTCAGGATTCTGTCAAGGAGGCCCTGTGCAAACTGTCCCTAACAGGAGCTTTCCCCTCTATCCCCATTCAGCTCCTTTCCAACAGGAATGTTTTACATTAAAAGTGCAAATCTTCCACAGGAAAGAAGCACAGACCAACCATCACGCTGCTACAAAATAGATTTAATTTAATTATCTTTATTTAGGATAGCTAGCTCCAGTAATAAAAATGGGAAGTGCTGGATGTACTCTTGGAGTCATAAGTGACTTGAGACATGAACTTGTTTCTCTCTCCACAGGCGGTATCACACCTGCTGGGTGTTTCAGCACTTCCTGATTTTATTGCCGATTTTCAACATCTGCAGTACTTTGCTTTGAAAGCTAACTCCAGTTTGAGCAAATGAGCAACAATGGTGTTAGTACACCTGCATGGGATGTATGATTGTGTATATAAACAAAGAAAGAACCCGCATTATATATCATCTTTCATAACCTTAGGAGATCCCAAATCATATCACACCTTATGTCCCACATTTGAGCAGTTGTCATAGATGTGGGATGTATGTAACTGCGCCAGATCTTCTCCAACTCATTAAGATTTCCTCATGTTACCTAATGTTTAAATTAATGTTTGTTTTGAGGTGAAATATCATTGTTGTATTTACTGTGTCTTTCCCTCCAGATTGCAAGAGATTGCGATATATTTTTATAGAATCATAGAACCCTACTTGTGGAAACAGGCCCTTCGGCCCAACAAGTCCACACCGACCCTGAGAGCATCCCCCTATAACCCACCTAATCTACACGTCCCTGAACACTACGGGCAATTTAGCATAGCCAATCCACCTAGCCTGCACATCTTTGGACTGTGGGAGGAAACCGGAGCACCCGGAGGAAACCCACACAAACACGGGGAGAATGTGCAAACTCCTCACAGGCAGTCGCCCAAGGGTGGAATTGAACCCGGGTCCCTGGCGCTGTGAGGCAGCAGTGCTAACTGCTGAGCCACCGTGCTGCCAATAAATGGTGCCAATGTGTATTCACGTGTACCAGGTGTCAGTCTTGGTTCAATGGGTAGTTCTGTCACCCCAGAGTCAGAAGTTTTGGGTTCAAGTCACATTCCAGAGATGGAAATCTAGGTTGACAGTCCAGTGGAGCACCGAGACTGTATTGCATTGTTAGAAGTGACGTCTTTTGAATGAAATATTAAGCTGATGGTCACTCTTCCCTCTTGGGTCAATGTATAAAATCCTGTCAACAGTTGTGAAGAAGAGTAGAAAATTCTCCTGGTCAGTATATACCCTTCAGTCCATATTGCAAAACTAAATAATATGGTCATTATCACTTTGCTGTCAGCAAGACCTTCATTTTTGTAAATTCCTACATTAAAACCAAATCATGTAACTGAACTTCAAATTTTCTGAAGAAGGGTCTAGGCCCGAAACGTCAGCTTTCCTGCTCCTATGATGCTGCTTGGCCTGCTGTGTTCATCCAGCTCTACACCTTGTTATCTCAGATTCTCCAGCATCGGCAGTTCCTACTATCTCTGATGTAAAGACATTTTTTTTCCCCCTTGCTGTCACTGGGTGACGCACAAATTTCCTTTTCCGTGGGGGAGGGAGTTGAATCCCAAGCTTGGCTGATGCCACAGAATGAATGCTGACTGTAAGGTGAAATGAGAGTGAGCAGTTATAACCTGGGTCTATAGTAAGCCCAATGACACAGCATAAACCACCCTTCATCAGACACTGATTATCATTTCATTTCCAGCCTCAGCCACAAGAAATCCTGGTGCAAGAAGTGGTCAGTTAAGATTAATGTGAACCACTGAGCTGGCTGTATTAAGACAGTGAAAAGCTAAGGTAATGATGATGGCATGCATCCATCTTGGGAGATAATGAACTGCCTGTACCCCAGTGTGACATTGGGTTGAACGTTGCTTATGGGGGTTGTAAAGGCCAAATCATGAGATTCTGCAGCTGGTGTTGTTGGCATTGGCCTGTGGTGGACTTGGAATGAGGTGAGCCAGGTGGATCTCATAGAGTGTGGGTTACCTGATTGGGGCTGTTAACCTGGTCCAAACAGGGAGCCGGGGTTGACAGATATAAAGTGTCAGAGGTTCTGCTTACTCCAGGAGTTGGCTCTGAGCTAGCTGGGTCAGTGTTATGTACTGTGCACCAGTAACTGAAGGGTGCCTTGGTGAAGGGATACTGGCCTTGTGGAGTTATTTCAGACTGATGCTGATTTTTTTTTCTTCTCAATGAGCTCTCTTTTCTGCCATGTGATCATTTCTTTTGTATTCTGTTTCTCCTGCGCCCTACTGACTGCATGCCACAATGCAATAAGACCATTCAGCCACTTGCGGCTGATCTTTCGGCTAGTATGAACGTTGCTGATTTTGGGATTCAACTCCACTTTCCTTGGAGTCACAAGTAGGCCAGACTAAGTAGAGCTAGCCTGAAAAGCGATTAGTGAACCAGATTTTTTTTAAACATCCATGGTTACATGGCCACAATTGGCTAGCCTTTCCATTGAATTCAGTTTTTAACCATCTGCCATGGTAGGATGCAGACCCATTTCCCCAGAACATTGGTCTGGAGTTCTGGATTACCAGGCTAGCAGCATTACCACTATGTCATCACTTCCATTACATCATTACCTGTTTTGCTAAACTCTGATGAAGCATTTCTTCGAACAGTTCTGCCATGTTGACAGTTTGGAAAGCCACAAATAATATTTTCTAATTATATATATGTGCACACATGGGATTGAAGGTTTAACTAAACACTTTTGCTTATTGTTTCTGCTGAATGTAGAAAGTTGGGCAGCCAATTTGAACACAAAGCACCAATAAATAACTGTGTGCTAATTGTTGAGATAATCTGTTTTAGTGATGTTTCTTGAAGGGTAAATAATGACCAAAACACTTCGGAGAACCCCCTACCCTCATTTACATCAATTTGAAAGTGTAGATGCATGGTGCCTCAGTTTAACATCTCACCTCCAACAATGCAGCATTCCCTCTGTCATCCTAGATTTTGTTCCCCAGTCTCTGGAGTGGAATTGTGAACCTCTGAAGTGAGAATGCCATCGACTGACCCAGGTCTAAAACCAGAAGGCCGGTTTGGAGAATGGATCGTTGTAGGGTTTCAAAGGGCATGAGAGCCTTGGCAAAGTACAAACAATGTAGCCTGTTTCCATCCATCTCAAGTAGCTTCCTGACTGCTTCATCAAGCTGAACAGAAAATCTGTGTCTTGACTGTTCACAGGTTTGAGTCACTGTAAACGTTCTATTTACAGAGTCTGTGAATTCAACCAGCCCCCTAAATGTCTGTATAAGGAGATTATTGACTGAGTTTATTTTATGTCTGAGGGTCCCAAACTCGGTTACAGTTTTGTTTTGGTGAATTTTGTGTCCAGGAGGTTGAAGGATGCTAATATTTGGGACTGGAGCCCTTCCTGTAACAGATGCTCGGTAGTAATGCCAAGAAGTTCCCGAGATTAAGTGTAATATGATCAGATGCAGAACGAAGCTCCCTCAGCCCTGATGAAATATCCCAGGCCTAACCTCAGAATAACATGTTCTCCAGATGTAGTATGACAGGTTGTTTTTCCTGTTTTGTGGCCATTCTGGCTAAGGTTACCAATTTATACTGAATAGGGAACAGTTTCATTAGTGGACACGAACCCACCAGGAGCTGGAATTACATCGTCCAAACACGGTTTTGCAAAGCAATAAAACACAGGATATTTTTTCATCTCATCAGTCTAGCCTAGAACTGAATCCAGTTGCCAGAATTAAAAGATTGCTGTGCTAACCCAAGCCTCACCAGACTTTCTGACTGATAGCACCAAGCGAAACACCACTCACCCTTGTTCTTGTACATTGTGGATATTTTTAATCAACCTGTTTAGAGATGTTAATACAGACCTCTGGAGCAGGTGAGACTTGAACGTTGATCTCCTGCTCAGAGGTAGGGACACCACCACTGCAAGAGCTGTTCTCTTATGCCCTATATGGTGGGATCTTAAACTTTTGTTTAATCCAACCAAGCTAACATTTAATTGGTCCAGCAACTGCATTGCAATGTTGTCTTTGATTTGTACCAAGTGGGTTTCATCTGGCTCCTTACTCAGCCAACATTAGTCACAGGAAATTGAGGATTTGTTGTTTTTTTTCTAATGCCAATGTTACTCCAAATTAAGCTATCAGATGATTGGGTTTTTATAATTTATTTAGTCTAGGGAGGGAAACCTGCCATCCTTATCTAGTCTGCCCTGTATGTTACTCCAGACCCATGTCCATATGTTTGACTCTTAACTGCTCTCTGAAATGCCCAAGCAAGGCATTGAGAAAACTTACCAACACATTGTCAATGGCAGTAGGAATGGGCTATAATTGCAGGACTTGCCTGTGATGCCCACTTATTGCGTGAATGAATAACAAATATATGATTACAATGATCGACATAGACAAAAGAAAGGGAAGCAGGTTGTAGTGGAATGTAACGATCAACGAGGATAGGTTAGGCCGAATGATCTGTATTTCTGCTATATGTCCTGTGAAATCCTATGTATAAGTGAAACCAGTTAGCGTTATTAGAATTGCCAGTCCTCCACAATTATCCTTGAGTCTCCATCAATTGAAGATTAATCTCCTGAACATTGTTCTGAGCAAACAAGAAAAAAAATCATGACTGTTTTTATTTATCAGTTGTAATGTGTAGAAGATGGGGGAAGGGTAAATGGGTCAGCTGACTGGCAGGGAAGAATCATTGGAAATGATGGAACTTCCAGGAATACAAACAACTAGAGTTGGGAAGCTGATTCCTGTCCAATTCATGGTGAAATCTAGCTTTGAGAGGAGGAACAGAGTGACATTTACCAAGTTTACCACGAATTACATAGATTCTTTGGTGCCACCTTTTATTTCTGCAAATTCACTATACCGGAACAACAAATTAACCAATATGAAGAAAAAATTATGTTATATTAACTTATCGACCAGTTACTTAAAAAAACAGACACCCCCTATCTCGGTGATATTTACTGGGGTTTTTTTTGGCGCTCCTCTGTTATATTACTTCCAGTTATTTTGTATACAACAGATGGCCAAATATAATTATATCTCAAAGGCAAAATACTTTTCTTGTTTGGATGCTGTGCGGAGTACCTAAATTTGCATGCACCAATCAACCCATATAAACAAGCACGTTTTCAAACAAAATAGCCATCAATTATTAACAGCTCTGACTTTGGTCTGCTTTCAAAGTTTCTACTCACAATGTTTCCATTTCCTGGATGTATGTAACCTCTTGCTGATTTACTTCACGGCCCTTTTTCTTGCATCCATAATGTTGGCAAATTCCCTGTGTGTAGTTTGCGTATGATCAGTGTGGGAATTAACAAGGAATTGTTAATTGTTAAAACTGACAGGAATTAACCAGCTTTCATCTTCAATTCTTGCTCAGGGATCACTCAGGAGAAAATTGACCAAACCCGCACTGCGGTAGAACAGCAAATGATTGTAGACATCAGAGAAGGTATTCAGGCGGGCACTGATCTGAATGCAAGAGATGCTCAGGGTGCCACCTTGGTAAGTAGAATTGGCACCATTGGATGCAGGTTGACCTAACCCTACCACTGGCTGAACCCGAAGAGTAGCAAATGTGGGAAGTCATGCTCATTGCAATATTATTTAGAATTTGTTTTAACCCTACAATTATTGAACTAAAGTCTTGGAAATGAAATCAGCCATATTCGTGGCAAGAATGCCTAAGCTTTATCACCTTATCTCAATTCTAATGCAATCATTGTCAACGGTTAATGCAGGTAAGCCTACATTTTACCAGGCATTCTGACCTTGAAGGTGCAACCTCATTTTTGTTTTTGTTTGCATGACATTGAAGTAAGAATAAACAGTACGTAGGTTCCCTGGATTTATTTTATGATCCTTTTTGGAAAATGACCACCACATTAACTTATTTTCCAAATTTATATCCTCCCTCACTTCTCTTGCTGTTCTGGAATAAATAGCATCTATTTGGACAGTTCTGAGGAAGGGGTACTGGACCCGAAATGTTAACTCTGATTTCTCTCCATAGATGCTGCCAGACCTGCTGAGGTTTTCCAGCAACAAAAACAAAGTTGCTGGAAAAGCTCAGCAGGTCTGTCAGCATCTGTGAAGGGAAAAACAGAGTTAATGTTTCGGGTAGGGTAACCCTTCCTCAGAACTGATGGTGGCTGGGAAAATGTCAGTTTATATTGCAGAAAATAGGGAGATGGGTGGGGTAGCTTTTCCAGCAATTTCTGTTTTTGTTTCTATTTACAGGGGATTTGTTTGGTTGATCCCAAACTGCAATTTTGTATTTAATCTGTCATTAAATCTTAGATAAATTATCTGATGTTGACTTGTAATGACCAGACTTTTTGATAATCCTGTTGATGTTAATTTTGAGATTAATTATCTGACTTTGCTATTTATAGGGAGGACATATTGCTCAAGGGAGATTGCACATTCTCCCCGTGTCTGCGTGGGTTTCCTCCGGGTGCTCTGGTTTCCTCCCACAATCCAAAGATGTACAGTTAGGTGAATTGGCCATGCTAAGTTGCCCATAATGTCCAGGGATATGTAGGCTAGGTGGATTAGCCATGGAAAATGCAGGATTATAGGGATAAGGTAGAGGGCTGGGTCTGGGTGGAATGCTCTTCTGAGGGTCGGTGTGGACTTGATGGGCCAAATGGCCTGCTTCCACACTGTAGGTATTCTATGAGCAATAATCATTCAGAATGTTATTTAGCCAACTTTCATCCCATGCTTCAGCTCTTATTTGCAGTTTTTACAAGTCCTTTTATTTAGGTCTGGCTGTCCACTATTCGGAGAATTTATGATCATCCTAGATTGGTAGTTTTTGGGAACTAAGAATTGTAGGTGTTCAGTGCTGTCAAGTTTGGGGAGTTTGTGGATGCTCGGTTTACGTTATTGCTTTTAATGATATTGTTTGCCGGAAGCTTGCTTTCCAAATTTCAAAGCCTTTTGTAAATTAGAAATGAAGTACATGTATTGATGCAGCGTTCAGTCATGAAGATTAGCTTGGAGCAAAATGGCTTATAACATCTTGAAAGCATGTGGCTGCAACAGTCATGAGGAAAGCAAAGCACAAAAATGCTTTTGCATAATAAATCCCAGCACTCATCTGTTTGCCTTAAGTGAATGTGTCCCATTGTGTTCTATTCTGCTGGTGCCTTAACTCCACATTCAGTGGCACACAACAACTTGCATTCAAATAGCACCTTTACCTGGGTAATAGGTCCCAAGGCACGGAAGTCCTTTTTCTCACATACACTGCAATCCAATTGTTGTTAATTTTTTTTCTTCTCTGTGGGAGTTTCCCTTAGTCTTTTTGTTGGATACTGCCGTTTGATATTGATTATCATCCTGCTGTTGATTTATAGATCAGTGACCAGTTACTTTAAGGTCTTTTTTTTCCTGTCTCTCCCGCAGCTACATGTGGTGGCTGCCAATGGGTACTGTACAGTTGCTGAGCTGCTTCTCGAGCATGGGGCCAAAGTAAGCATCAAGGACAATGACGGCTGGGAACCATTGCATGCAGCTGCCTGCTGGGGTCAGGTCAGTCGCTGTCTATAACTTGAGATATTGGTGTCTTGTGCGCACGTTTCTTAGAAAGGTGAGAAAAAAGGAGTTGCATTTCTGTAGCACTGTTCACATATTTATGATGTCTGTTTACAACCAATTAACACATTTTTGAGTATGGTTGTTGTTTTACTGCAGGTAATTTTAAATGGCATTATGATAACAATCAGATAATCTGTTTTGGTGATGTTGGTTAAAGAGATAAATATTGGGCCGGACATGGGAGATAAGTCCCGTGCTCTCCTTTTGAATCGTGCCATGGAAGATTTTACATCCAACTGAGCAGCAGATGGGGCATCAGTTTAACATTTCATTTAAGATCCACTCCCATCATACTGCAATGTCAGCCTAGGTGCAGTGCTGAACGAGTGGGACTAGAACAAACAACATATCCTAAATCCTTTTATGCCAGCCTTGGTCAAAAACAGTTCCAATCAAGAGGGATAGTAAGAACTGCTGATGCTGGAGTCAGAGATAACACAGTGTGGAGTTGGAGAAACACAGCAGGAAAGTTGATGTTTCAGATCAGGACCCTTCTTCAGGTCCCGACCCAAAACGTCAGCTTTCCTGCTCCTCTGATGCTGCCTGACCTGCTGTGTTTCTCCAACTCCACACTGTGTTATCTCCAATCAAGAGGCTTTTAATTGGATTCCTGGATAAATATTGTTCTAAGTAACAAGAAAATTATTCAACTTAATTAAAGAACTAATCTGTCGATGTCAGATGAGCTGGGAAAAATAGGTATGTTTCATCAAATGCACATCATCGTTTACAATTTGTTATACAATTATTACGTTTTTTTGTTCAGTGTGTTTTGGATGTTTCTGGTGAGTTCTGTACAGTTTTGGTATGTGTTCGGATACAGTCAGTAAGGACAAATCTCTTTAGGAGACACACTGGGATCAGGATACTCAAAAGTGAGCAGGATATGGTTCATTACCGTATGATTCTCCATAAGAACAAATTCCATGGCAACACCACAACAATCAGAACTGTCTTGCCAACTAGCCAGTATATTATGTGAATTATTGCTTGTTTTAAAGTTTTGAGTTCTTGCATCTGTCCTGATAAATGCAAGATATAAGGCTTTGACAGCATGTCCCTTTTTATCAACAAAACCTTCAACAACCTTGGCACAGTCACAGTATGTTTCCCTTTGTGGGATAGTCTAGGACCAGGGAACATAATTTCACGTTAAGTGGTTACCCATTTAAAACAGAGTTGAAGAAGAATTTCTTCTGTCAGAGGATAACAAATCTGTGGAATTCTTTACCACAGAGCGCTGTCAAGGCTGGGTCAATAAGTATATTCAAATAGAATTTTAATCAAGGAATTCCAGGCAGGAAGGTGGAGTTGAGAATTATCAGATCAGCCATGATCTCACTGAATGGTGGAGCAAATACAATGAGCCAAATGCCCTGCTTCTGCACCTGCTTCTTTTGATATATTGCTTGAAGTCTTAGCTTCTGATTTGATGAATGCCTGGTCTGGGCAGAAGGTGACAGTAGGCAGTCTGTTCCTGCATATTTCATAGTCAACAGGCATAGCACAGCATTGATAGATTGTCAGCTCCTGGTATTCTGCACGCGTGACGTCTACTTTGGCTGAAACAGGCTGGAACGTGCTGCATGGGTTTGAGAGAGGTAGAAAGGTGAAGTGAGGAGAAAGTATGCGATCGTAGCTTTCGCCAACAGTAACATATATGTGACTGTTCAATTCTCAACCTCTAATTGGACCATCCTTATCTTGCAAGCCATTCTCTGCCAATATCTTGTCCTCCATTATAGAACAACATTTCGGTTCTATACATCACGTTGAGGTTGTACAGGTCATTAGTGAGGCCTCTTCTGGAATACTGTGTCCAGTTCTGGTCGCCCATTTATAGGAAGGATATTATTAAGCTGGAGAGAGTTCAGAAGAGATTCACCAGGTTGTTGCCGGGTATGGAAGGTTTGAATTATAAAGAAAGGCTGGAAAGGCCGGGACCTATTCCACTGGAGCATAGGAGGTTGAGAGGCGACCTTATAGAAGTTTATAAAATAATACGAGGTATAGGTAGAGTTACTGGTAGCCGTCTTTTCCCTAGGACGGGGATTTCAAGACTAGGGGACACATTTTTAAGATGAGAGGAGAAACATTTAAAAAAAAACATGAGGGAATTTTTTTACATGGAGAGTGGTTTGCATGTGGAATTAACTTCCTGAGGAAGTGGTAGATGCAGGTACAATTGCAACATTTAAAAGACATTTTGGATAAGTAGATGAATAGGAAAGGTTTGGATGGATATGGGCCAGGAGCAGGCACGGGGATTAGTTTAGTTCGAAATTATGTTCGGTATGAACTGGTTGGATCGAAGGGTCTGTTTCCATGCTGTATGACTCTATCAGTCGTTTAATGGGGTCAGTAAGATGGGAAGTGTCAGGGGGTCTTCTCCCTGAGGACATGTGGAACCCAGCTGACAAAAAATGGAATTCCTAAGCTGAGGACTCAAATCTGAGTGAAGGGCAGCTCTGGGATTTTTCAAAGCTGGGTCATCGAGCCAAATTGATGGACAAGCCGAGTGGCAGCTTGCAAGTTGCTTCACTCCTTGGTAACATTGTTAACACCTCCGTGCGAGTTATTACATATCTGTGTGCTGCACTAGCACACACTGGTTGCGGTATGTATCAATACAGCTCCAACAACACTTCCACAAACTACATTGCCTGTTAGGATAATGGTAGTAGGTGCAGGGTGACACTGTCAACTCCAGACATCCCTGAAAGTTATTAGACCAATTTGGAAATAGGTGGCTTGTTCCTTCATCGTGGTGGTGTCAAAATCCTGAACTCCCTCCATTGACAATTCAAGGAGTGTTTTCATCCTGCAGCAGTTCAATATGGTCAGTACTAGTTTTTCAAAGGAAACAAAGATACAAGTTGGAAGTTGATCTCTAGAGCCTACTTCACCATTTAATAAGATCATGGCTGATCTGATTACTCCAGATTCCTGTCTACCCCAATAAACTTTCACCCAATTACTTCTCAAGAATCTGTCTCCCTCTGTGTTAAAATATTCAAGACTCTGTTTCCTTTTGAGGAAGAGAGTTCCAAACAGTCCCAACCCTCTGTGAGGGGGGAGAAAAACTGCAAGCCTTAATTTTAAACAGTGACCCTTCGTTGTAGATTCTCCAATAAGAAAAAACATCCTTCCCATATGTACCATGTTAAGACTTCTTAGGATTCTATATGTTCTAATTAAGTCTAATTAACTCCAGGGGATATCTTGTCCAGCCTTTCTTCTTAACACTAACCACCTACCTCCAGATATTCAACAAAGGATATTTAACAGAGGAGGTTAAAAAAAAGCAGTAATACTTGGAAATGAATTTCCTGGTGTTACTGGAGCTCCATTTTAGTGTATAAGACATGTTGGACTAATATGTGTCACTTGCAAGTTTTACTGGGTTTCCTCCTGGAAGCATGCGATGATGCCCACAATCCAAGAGTGATATTTTTGTTAAAGTTTACTGTGCAAACGATATAGTGCAGACATTGACAGAGCAATGCTTTTGTGCTGCAATATTAATCGCGGTGTTCCACACCCAGGAAGAAACTGTGGTCCTGTCTGACCAAAATATGTGTTTGTTCAAACCCACAACAATGCTGTTGCTTTGTGCGTAACATGTGGCGAGTCCCTCGTCGGGTAAAACCCAGTAAGGACAGATTTCGTGAAACAGACTTGCACTAAAAAAAGGAGCAAATATATGTTGCTACCCCAGCACCATCAGTGGTCTAGTTGCATTTCTGAAATTGGTTATTGCCAGTATTTCTTCGTCCCTTTTGACAAATACATGTGAAAAAATTAATTAGTCAGTGATTCATGTATTTGCCAAATAACTGCTTAATAAAAGAATTTCATGACTGGAGGATAGGATTCACAACTTTTCACTTCCACATTCACTGGATTTGCACCTTTCCCTTTGCTTTTGCCAGAGGACAGCATATGCATGCCAGTATTTTTTTTTCTCCAATTATATCTGTCATGAGGAACAAAGTAGACAGACAGTCCTAAAATAGGCTCCTTTTAAAGTGACTTTTATTAATAACTATCAATGGAAAAGAAAAATGTGCTCTGAGTGGCAATTCATTAAGAAAAAAAAAGCTTCTTTCCTTCTCCTATCATTCCAAGGGTTAATTAGACAGCTGTTTTGAACAAGAGCAAAATACTGCAGATGCTGGAAATCTGAAACAAATACAGAGAATCCTGGAGAAACTCAACAGGTCTGGTAGCATCTGTGGAAAGAGAAAGAGAGTTAGCCTTTCGAGACAGTATGACTGTTCCTTCGAACTACAGTAGACTGGGTAGTCTGCAGCTCTAACGAAGAGTCACAGTGGACTCAGAACGCTAACTTTTTCACTCTGCACAGATGCTGCCAGACCTGGTGTTTCGAACAGTTGAGATGGAATGAGGAATTGTACTAACTTTTCTTGTGATCCCACTGTTATAATGTAAACTTGTTTCTGTATTTCTTTTCTGTAGATGCAAATTGCAGAATTGCTGACAGCTCATGGTGCGAGTCTCAATGCCAAGACAAACCTTAAAGAAACACCAATTGGTTAGTCATAGACATAAGGTTGGCACCATTTGCCTTGCCTAACGGAAGCAGATTAAGGCTGGGGAAGGAATAAGGTCCAAGGCTTGAATTCTTATGGAATATTCCATATGCCATAGGAGCATCACAGAAGTCACAAGCATCCATCTGATTCTGTTGTCTAGTCAGAAATGTAATACCATTTTAATGGAACTGTTGACTAAAGCAGCACTCAACCCCTTACTTTATCTCTGTTTATATCTCATTAAAATATTAATAATGTCTCTGTCACATTTTAGAGTCTTATCTGTCCTTGTAAGTGCAGATCGTTCAGCTTTCGTATTTTAGATTGTTTCTTATCAGAAATGTTTAGCTTCTTTTGGTTTTGCAAGTGTCTTTATTGGCTGTGCTGTTAAAAGTTCTGGTGATGTGCTTATGATGGCAAACAGAAAATCTTGTTTTAAATTTTTCTTCTGTGCTGTAACTTACCCTGTACCACCCTCCGCACTCCTGAAATCCTCCAGCCAGCCACCAAATTGAGGCTGGGTATGAAATGGCCAATAGTCGGCCACTTGAGGCCCTGAATTAGGGCATAGACAGTGGCAAAGCTACCCAGCCTGATAATACGCCAGTGGGAGACCATGGATATTCTCTCCAATGACTCGATTATTTCACACACTCATCGTATCAGATAATCTTGAACTTGCAAGAAAATTTGACCTGGTGTGTGGATTTCAGTGCCACTACTTTATAACCTGTGAGATAATCCACTCTATGACTTGAATAATCTTGTCTGAAAAATGGCACCTTCAACAGTGCAGCACTCCTAAAGTACTGGCACTGCAGGGTCAGCCACAATTCGAAAAGCTCAAAAATCAACTGTGGGACTCGACCCACAATCTTCAGGAGAGGCAAGTTTGCTACCATTGGGTCATACTGCAGGCAGAAAACAGAACTTATGGGGTCAATCTCAAAATGGTCCATTGTTGTATTAAAACAGTCTGAAAAGGACTAATGTTACTTTTCCATTGCAGATCTCTGTGATGATGAGGAGTTCAGAGTTTTGCTTCGACAGCTCAAGCACAAACATGATAGCATCTTGAAGTCACAGGGCAAGAACAAGTCATCTTTAAGCAGGAGAACCTCGAGTGCTGGAAGTCGAGGGTTAGTATTTGAGCCCTAATTAATGAAAACTCTGATTCTATGGCAACACTTAGACGTTCGATTCATTTGGATGTCACCTTCCAAGGAAACTGCGGTTCTTGGATTCTTTAGCTAGCTTTCTGGGCCTCAGCTTATCCTTATAAGTAAAATGAAAATGGCCTTAGTAATTTTGGTTGTTGGTTTTGAACATAAATTCCATAAATGGAATTTGAAAGAACTCCATGAAGGCAGGTATCCTGTCACCAAATGATCCTTCATTTCCACGTCCATAGTACTTGACAATGGTCCAGCTAGCTTAGAGATGGCTCCTAGAGTGAATAGAATCTCTGGCACTCCTGTTTATATCTGTCAGCCAGTGCTCCCTGATTGGACCAGGTTAACAGCCCCAATCAGGGATCTCACATTCCGTGAGGTCCACCTGGCTGACCTTGTTCCAATCACTACAAATTTCCTAATGAGCTTGATCAAGATGTATCCTCCCAAGGCAAGCAGGAAACCCTGAATGATTCCACATGCCTCTTTTGTGAGAGGTTTGTGAATCTTGGAATGGCAACCGTGGATACTAAGTCATTAGATATATTCACAACAGAAGTCAATAAGTTTCTGAATACAAAGGGATATAGAGCTAGCATGGAAAGGTGGAGCTGAGGTAGAAGATCAGCCATGATCTTATTCAACAAAGGAGCAGAGGGGCAAATAACAGACTCCAATTACTGTTCATTATGTTCGAATTGAGAGAGTAAGACATTGCTTCACTGGGGAAAGCAAAAGAAAAACTAACAAGGAACTGCATAAAGGTGAAACACTGCAAATACTGGAGATCTGAAATAAAAAAAAGTGTTGGAGAAACTCAGTGGGTCTGGCAACACCAGTAGAGAGGGAAAAAGAGTTAATGTTTCAAGTCTAATGACTTCAGAAGTGAAGAGGTGGAAGAGTCATGGCTTTAATGCTGTGGTGAAGGGGCAAATGTAGTAGAAAGGCAATCAGGAAAAGTTAAAGGAGATTGGAAATCAAAGATGTCATTGAGCAAAAGACAAAGGGAAAGGTAATGATTCTAGAGGAAACAGGGTATTGAAATGGAGTAGGTAGTAATGACAGGACAAAGATAACTCTGAATGAAAGCACAGCTGTGAAAAACAGGATCCAGCAGGAAACAAAAGTTATCCTTCCCTAAACTTTTCCCTCTGTTGTAGTTCTCTCAGCCAGTTGCTATGTTTTGAATTACAGTATGTGTAGATCATCTGGCCCATCTCTTCAATACTTTCATAGCTGATCCTGTCATATCCCCATATCCCATACTGTCATTGGACCTTCAGGGAGGTGATTAATCAGCCATGAATTTGGAATTGAAGAGCAGGCTCACAAGGCTGAATGGCCTACTCTGATCCCTATGTGCCTATGATATTCTACCTCAACTCTACTGCCTGCTCCCCGTACCCTTTGATCCCTGAGAGACCAAAAATCTATTTATCCAAGACTTGAACATACTCTATGACTGAACATCCACAATCCACTTGGATAGACAATTCTAACAATTCACAATCTCTGAATGAAGATATTTTTCTTCATTTCAGTTCTGATGAAGAGTCATTGGACTTGAAATGCTAACTCATCTGTGGTTTTCTCACCACAGATGCTGCCAGACCTGCTGAGTTTCTCCAATTTCTGTTTTTGTTTCAGCTCTTCAGCATCCACAGTTCTTTGTTTTATTATACTGAATAATAAGCTCTTTCTCCTTAGACTGTGTCCCCATGTTTTAGATTTTGTCATCAGCAGAAACAGTCTCTCTTGTGTTTATGCTGTCGCGCCTCTTCTGATTCTTTGTTTCAATGACATTATCTCTTATTCTTCTAAACACTAACAAATATGGGCAGAATCAACTCAGCTTCTCATCAGCTTCTCATCACGGGCCTACGCTTTCATCCAAATGTACAACCTAGTGAATATTGTTGTCCCATCTCCTAGGCAAGTAGATCCTTCCTTAGATTTGGAGACCAAGCTGTGCATCTGACTGCTTTCAATTCCTGACCCATCATGTCATTCACTACACATGAGGAAATTGCTTTGGAAATGTACATTTTTAATCACTTTCCTGGTCCGTATAATGTACTTAAATTAATCAGAATTAAATTTACTGGTATTCAAGCTTCACGACATCATACCTGAGGGAAGATGGTTGGTATTTTATATGGTTTTGCTTCTGCTTTAAATGATCTTTTCCCACATTCTCCAAAGTCTGTCTCTTCCTGACCAAGACAGCAGGTGTCCAGAATGCTTTGAAAGCAGCTGTCAGAATGTGTGTCAGAAACAGTCTAAAGGTGACGCTGTCTCTCTTCCTGCAGCACAGTTACTGACCTCCCCTTCTGTCAGGTTGACGGTGTTATGGAAATTGGCTGGTAGCTTTCTGCTCCATGTCAGTGCAGATGGGCTCACAGTGTCTGATGTTCCTTCACATGATCACTCACTGTTCAATGCATATATGTGGTTGTTTGTAGATGCATTGTCAATTTGATAATTGTATGAGCAGATAAAACAGATTAACAATTCAAATTCAATATGATGCTTTGGAGGTTTCACAACTTATCCTGATCTGGTGATGGTATACAATCTGTAGAATTGCATGGCATTGTTGTTGCCCTGGTTTGACAACCTAGTGGCCTTTTCTGCTATTTGCTGTCACTCAACATCACCACACAATCGCCATTGTCGGGATGTTCTTCCTCAGTTTCTTTGTGTATGGTTGGTGTATTGTATATTGGCCTGATTTGGCTTCTGTTCCTTCACAATGCAGCACCATGATCAGGGATGACTTCATGCGATCTGGACTGGTTGCATATTTTATAATGTTTTGCTGGAATCCAAGTGTTTATATTTCTAACTTCCATTTCACACTGGTGCATGGTTTTGGTAGTTCTCTACCAGCTTGCTTGTTATGTATCTATCTTTGAAGAAGAATGTCCTGATTCTAGGAATGATTAGAGAATTATGGAATTGTTTCTGATTTACAGCATGCATAGTTCTTCTGGGTTTTTATTTGGAGAATTACAGATCCTGGGCAATCTCATGCACACTTCCCATCACAATGTATGCTTGGAAGGTGATTGTAGTCCAGTGGTGTTGCAAGAAATGCAAAAACAAATTGTTTTTTGTTCCTTAACACTTAATGATCATTGTATGGCGTGAGTTGCCCGTACTGCACGCAAACAAAACTTTTCACTGTATGTAGGTACATGTGACAATAATAAATCAAATTTTAAAAATGTTAAGGTGATCAGAAACTTTTAGAACTGTCAGCATCACATGTCCTGAAAGTGCACAAAACCACACACTAAAAGCTAAAATCGACATAGGATCTAGTACCAACATATTTTTACCACTATGCATCCTGAAAGACATGTACCTCAGCAGGTGGCATTCCATAGTAGAACCAACAAGAGACTGTCTCACAGGGTGTAGCACATTACGAATTCCATGAGCAGGGGTGATGATGTTATGTTTGACACTGCCATTTAGTATGCATGTCCTGAAAAGGGTTAGCCAGTGAATTGCAGTCCATTTTCTCACACCAACTTTTCCAGGATACCGAATAAATTATAAATAACGCATATCATGTCAGCACTGGTCATGCTTATTGTGGTACTGGTAAATTTGGAGAAGTAGTCCATTACAAGGATGTAATATTTTTCCATGCATGGTGAATAGGTCTGTTGCTACTTTTTTTCTAAGGAGCGAAAGAAGTGGATGCAGCAGTTCCGTCTGCCGCTAGCGTTGATACATTTGGCATGCCTCGGATCCATTCACATGTCATTCAATATCCTGATTCATCCCAGGCCGGTACACAGACTCATGTGCTAGCGGTCTTGAGCATTCAATACCCATGTGTTCTCGGTGTAACATGGCCATGTTGCTTTTGGTGTTTGTCCTTGAAGATGACTTATCGCGATGCACCATGTTCATCTTCGTATCCCCAAAATGAATGACACCTCTCAAGTATTTGCTTAATACTGTCAGGCCATCCCTGCATAATTACCTTTTGCAACTTTTGTGGAAGCCTATCTTCGGCAGTTGCCGATTGCAGCCGTTCACATTGGCTCCTGTAAACGTTCTTCAACTTCAATGATTGCATGGCACTTTGTTTTTTATTCATTCATGGGATGTGGGTGTCACTGGCTTGGCCAGCATTTATTGCCCATCCCTAATTGCCCTTGAGAAGGTGGTGGTGTGCCGCCTATTGAACTGCTGCAGTCCATGTGCTGTAGGTAGCCCACAATACTGTTATATGGTCTGTTTTGCCACAGTGAGTGTGGTTTGAAGCATATGAATTGTGACAGCACCTAAGATGTGTGCACGCTGGTAGTCCTACCACTGCTGGACCATTGGTATCTATCTAGAAAGTTTCAAGAAGGCAAGGTGTGTTTGCCTATTGGCATTGTAATGTGATTTCTGCGCATGGAATTTGTAATGTGCTACACCCTGTGAGACAGTCTCTTGTTGGTTCTACTATGGAATGCCACCTGCTGAGGTACATGTCTTTCAGGACGCATAATGGGTAAAAATATGTTGGTACTAGATCCTATGTCGATTTTAGCTTTTAGTGTGTGGTTTTGTGCCCTTTCAGGACGTGTGATGCTGACAGTTCTAAAAGTTTCTGATCACCTTAACGTTTTTAAAATTTGATTTATTATTGTCACATGTAGCTACATACAGTGAAAAGTTTTGTTTGCGTGCAGTACGGGCAACTCGCGCCATACAAAGATCGTACCGTGATTGAACACAGTAGGGAACATAAAGTTATAGCTGCAAAGAAAGTAAACAAAAGCAAGATCAACATTAGATTTGAAACTTGAGAGGTCAATAAAGAAGTCTAATAACAGTGGGGAAGAAGCTGTTCTTGAACCTGACAGTATGTGTGTTTAAGCTTCTGCCAGACAGGAGAGGTTGGAAGAGATTATAATTGGAATAGGTGGGGTCTTTGATAATATTGGCTGCCCTTCCAAGGCAGTGAGGAGTGTAGATGGATTCAATGGATAGAAGGTTGGCTTGCGTGATGAATTGGGCTGAGTTCATAATTCTCTGTAGTTTCTCACAGTCCTGGGCAGAGCAGTTGCTGTACCAAGCTGTGATGCACCCAAATAGAATGCTTTCCATGGTGCATCTGCAAAAGTTGGTGAGGGTCCTTATGGACATGCTGAATTTCCTTAGCCTCCTGAGGAAGAAGAGGTGTTGTTGTGCTTTTTTTAAACCATTGCACCACTGTGGGTGGTCCAGGACAGATTGCTGGTGATGGTCAAGAATGTCAAGAAAGGTGTGAGGTTAACAATAGAAAAAAACTTGATCATCTTCTGACATTCGTCTTTCGTTTGATTGACTATGCACCTCCTTGACGTATTTGTGTTTGCTCACCTTCTTAACAATTGCCTTTGTGCCAGTGCTGCCTCATTGCTCACTTTTTGCGTTTTGTTCTGGGGTCTGTCTTGGTCTATGGAGCCAAATTTTCTGCCACTGTTGATACCATACAGGTTTCAAGAAAGGCTTTTGGGTAATTGCTACACCTGTTACAGATTTTGTTGGTTTAGTGTGCTTTGCTGACCATCGCAATCATGCTGAACGCAACTATTGACAAACTGGACAATAAACTTCTGCAGTTGTTTGGGTATCATGCATTGAGTCTGTTAATTCTGAAGCTAATTGAACTTGGAGTATTGAATAGACAGCCATTGCTGCTAACCAGCTTTTGCCTTCTGCAGGGTATATTGCTTGATGTGGCAATGCTTATGTTATCCTTCGTGACATAATAAACTAGGCATGGATGATATGGCATTGGAAGATCGAACAGATAGTTGTTACAAATAAAAACCGAAAATGCTGGAGAAACCCTACAAGTCTGGCAGCGTCTTTGGAGAAACGGAGTTAATGTTTTGAGTCCAGTATGACTCTTCTTAAGAACACACATCTGCAGATATTCATTACAGGTGGCTACTAAAAGCAGACATTCTCAGGCATACTACTACCTGGGCTAAAGTTAAGGTGTTAGGTTACAAACAGCAGCATGCTTTAATTCATAGGACATGTTTTATGTGATCCCAATAAGAAGTGTGTAAGACTTTTATACCCTCTGGCCACTTGCTACGATGCAATAATATCATGAGCATGTCTCTAAAGTAAGCGGTCAGACTAATTTTGGGACATAACACAACAGCAAATGTTGTAATGGATCACGAAAGACCAATGGGTGCTCTTTGGAGGGTCGGTGCAGACTCGATGGGCCAAGTAGCCTGCTTTCTCACTGTAGGAATTCTATGATCCTATAAACTTATCAAAGTCTTTTATAGGCGCACCAATAATAAAAGGATGGTGAAAGGAGGAGTAGGATGAATTAGGGACCAAAAAGGGGAGTTATATATGGAGGCATGAGGCATGTCAGAGGTGTAAATTAATACTATGCATCTGCCTTTCCCTACAAGGTGAATTCTGCCATATTAGTTACATAGAAGGAAACTTAGTCACTAGAAGTATTTAAAACACACAAAGACGAGGCATTGGATAAGCTGACAAAACTTAAATTTGACAAGGCAAACAGGACTAGATGAGATACATCCAATAATATTGAAGGAAGTGAGAGCAGAAATTGCAGAGGCATTGCCAGTAATCTTTCACATATCCCTGCACTCAGAGGTGTTGCCAGACAACTGGACAATTACGTCCTTGTTTACCAAACATTCTAAAGATAAGACTAGCAATTGTAGACCAGTCAGATTAACTTTTGTGCTGGGGAAACTTCTGATATGTGAGGTTGGATTAATAGTTACATGAAAAATGAGGGTTAAGGGAAAATTGTAACTAATTAACTTGCAGAAGCCCTTTGAAGAGGTAATTAAGAGTTGATGAGGACTATGCTGTTGACATGGTGTACATGGACTTCTAAAAAGCATTCAATACAGTGCCACACCATAGGCTTGTGAGAAAAGTCATAGTTCATGAAAGAAAATGGACAAAAACAACATAAATACTAAATTAACAAGGTGTAGAGCTGGATGAAC